GAAAATTAACTCTATCCCAGCTGAAACCAGGACAGCTGCTTCAGTTCAGTTCTATGAGGAACTGAATTTGACAGCAACTAAGAGTTCTTAAATCTCACAAGATCTTGCTAATGGTGTTCCCCGTTGCACCAGGTGAAATATAGACCTAATCTGGTTCTTTATTTCATTATTAAAAATGTGGTAATTAAGGGTGCCCCTTCAGATTCTTAATGGCTTAAGTGGGAGTCAAATTTGACTTTATTTCTTTTGAATTTGTTTCTCAAACCATCATATATATAAGATACAAAAATTGCAAGGAAACATTTGCATTCGACAGTCTTTGACTTTTATTCATTGGTGTCATTTGCTAATGGTTAATAGTCAGATGCTGATAGCGACTTCCATAAATTAACCACTTTCCTCTTCTTTTCCCCTTCCTTTCTCATTGGTGATCAGAATTGACTAACATGGCAGAATTTAGTTTAACTTTACATTCCTAATAATAATACAGATGTTTGATGTATTTTGATGCCTAACCCTAAGTTCTTTAAAGTAATTACAAAACTTTGATACAAACAATTTTAGGAATTAAGTCTTAAATACATTTCTGCATTTTTTAAATATGACAACATTGTGCTAATCCATCAAACCCAGAACGTAAACTCACTAGAGAGTGTGCTTACCTGGGACATAGATTTGAGGCATGGCTACATGTACATGGTATGTCTGGACAGTGCTTGATTACAGCTTTTAGGTGTTAAGAATGGATAATAATAATAATAATAATAATGGCAATAAATCATTTATAGTAGGTAATAATTTATAGACATCAGAATCTGAGTACAGACCAAAGCTAAAGATCTTGAGTAGTGATTTCTATTTTTACAATTCTGCCAGTACTTGTAATCTAAGGTGTTAACAGCAATGTTTTGTAAGGACATTTGTTTTGTTTTAAATGTAGCTTTTTAGCTTGCTAATATCCTCTTAAAAGGCTTCTATCCTCCCAAGTCTGTGTATTGCTGTTTGCTGTTGACATATGAATGGTTTCCCAAAATGCCTCTAACGTGTAAATGTTCTTGTTTGGGGGAAAAAAAAATTCATAATCCCATTTTGATAACTCAGTAATGGATTATGAACTTTGGTTGTCTTTTTAAACTGTGTCTTACAAAACAATGGCTCACCCCACCCCCTCCATAGAATTGGGACTTAATGGCAAATATTGCTGTGACTTTATGACAGAAATTTCGATTATCAAGCTGGCCTTTGATGCGATGAGGGATGTTGCAGGAGAAGCATAAAGTTTAATGGGAAGTATCATCTCTTCCCAGATAAACAAATTTGCCAGGCCTCTCTGAAGTTTTTGCTGTAGCTGTTTACAAATCAAACACCAACCTGAGTTCATATTTTTTCTCGTGGGGACGTGTGCTCTGAAGTCTTACCAAGTGAATGCTGAGCGGTTTAACATTCCAGGCCAGGGGAGGAGAGTGGATGCCCACATGGCATCACTCTCCCTTTTCCCCCCTCTTTCTGCAATGGGTGGCTGCTACTGGGATGTGCATTAGCCAGAGTCAGGGGTAAAGAGGAAGGAAAGAGGTTCTGACTGGTGTGTGCAGTAACCTGTGTGTATCGCCTACCACTCCGTATGTATCACACACCTGTTTTGAGTTTCATCTCTCTGCTGGGTTTGCATATGGGCACTTGGAGCTGAAAGAGGTGGTCCCATTCTTGGCACATCTCGATTTGTCTGTGGCTTGAGTGGTTCTTCTTCCCCTTCCTCACCTCCCTACAGCATCATGCTTTTCTCACTGCAGGGCAATCAGAACAATCCCAGAGAGATGGCATTTCTCTCTTCTTTTTTTCTTGGTTACTTTCTTTCTTTTTTTTTTTTTTTTTTACTTTTCCTTTGTTTTACTTTTCTTTCTGTTGTTTTCCTTTGCTGACACGTGGTTGGTTAATATGATGAAGCCTGTTATGACACTGTTGTTCTTGCTGCTGCCGCTGCTGCTGCTGTTGATTATGCTGTGTTCCCAGCTAACTGCATGTCTTTTTTTTGTTTTTTGTTTGTTTGTTCGTTTTTGTTTCTTTGCAAAATCCCTCCCCCCCACTACCCCTTCACCTCCATCTCTTGTGTCTCCTTGTGACAATGTGCATCTTTGTGACTTGGATGGATTTTATTCTGACTTTCCTTTCTCTGCTCGCCCGCTCTATGCGTATTTCACTGTTTTTGATGTGCATGGACACTCTGCGTCTGTCTTGTAGCCTATCAGAAAGTTCTTCATCCCCCCTCAGACCTCCGACCTCCCTTTCTCTCCCCGACCCCAAGTCTCCTTGGACCCTGATGCTTGTAGGAACGCCTCCAGGCCTGGACTTGTACTCCAACCAAAGCCAGCACTTCAGCCCAACCCAAAGACGCAGACTTTGCCATCCAAGAGCAAATTGGCCGAAAAACCACTCCAGTCTACTAAATCCAACCCACTCCCTACCAGCAATACCAGCGCTCCCTCTTCCCAGAACACTCCTGTGCAGAATGCCCAGGGCCGCTCGCCTGCTGCCGGCTTTAACCCACAGCTGGCTGTTCCTAAAGTGCAGACCAACCCTATGTCTCCTGTTAGATTGCTCCCTTCTAGTACTGACCCAAGCACCAAATCTATCCCCATCATACAGGTCACCCCTCACCCCTCTCCAAGGGGAAGTCCCCTCCCTACCCCCAAGGGGACACCTGTCCATACGCCAAAGGAGAGCCCAGCAGGCACACCCAACCCAACACCACCATCCAGCCCCAGCATTGGAGGAATGCCATGGAGGACACGGCTCAACTCTATCAAGAATAGTTTCCTGGGGTCTCCTCGCTTCCATCGCCGGAAATTGCAAGGTGAGTACTCATCCAAATGTACAGGGTGGTTCTGATTTGGGCTGACATTCAGCAGCAAGTTGATACCTCTCTGTGGCTTTGCAAACTTCATGTACTGAGGACTAAATATTGTTATTGAAAATGAGAGTGATAGCGTCAGCCAGCCCTAACCCAAGGCACGTGTGAGCAGGCTCTGTCATGCCACTGCACCTGCTCCAACAGCATCTCCTGAGCCTTCTTCATACTCCAGCCATACAGCTCTTACTATCCCAGAGAATTTTATCTTCTCCACTCATTTTGTCAGCAAACCTAGAGCTCTGCCATTTGCCCTATGGCTGTACTCCACTGCCTCTCTGTAGCCACAGGCTGAGCCCTCTTCTGAAAAAAAGATAGCCAGTGGCAATAGGCTGAAATTGTCCGGCTGAAGCACAGTTTGTTTGATCTCGGTTAATGCTTTTTTTAACCTCCTTTGGTAATTGGTGTAAAAATCTCCTTAATACAATCAGTGGTTTCATATCTGCTGCTGGCCTATTTCAGTTTTCAGAGTCTCTAGAGTGTTGAGAAGTGCAAAATTTTCTTCTTCAAGCTCCAGGTGGCTTTTTGCGTTCAGGCAAAGGGCACCCAAAGTCACATGCATTATCCTCAGATGTCAGCAGCAGCTAACCCAACACCCTGTGGTTTTACAGAGTACTGGGATGTGATCCCATGGGAAAGGAGGATTACAGCCATGGAGGAGTTAGATTTTTGAACTGTGATGGTCAGGGACATTGTCTCTGAGATGGTCAGAGAACTGCAGAGAACTGCAGCAGTGACTGAGCTGCATCCAGCTGGGCTTTGAAACAATTGTAAAGCAGTCAAATTGGCACAGCGTTTGGGTCTCAACCAGAAACCATTGAAGCCAGTGCAAGATTACATAATGATTTAAGGATGGGTAGGGTGAGTCTTGAAATGCAGTGCTTGATTAGATACAGTGATCTAGAGACATATGACCAATGTTCAAATGTCAGAACTAGTCTGCAGAGGCAGTGGGCAAATGCAAGAGGGTGTTATGCCAGAATTGTTTCATTGGTCTACAAGCAGAAAATTGAAGGTGTACTGAATCATCAATTTCTTTTCTCCCTCCCTCTCTTTGGCTGTGTGTGCATGGGCAGTACCTACACCAGAGGAGATGTCTAATTTAACCCCGGAATCATCCCCAGAGTAAGTAATCTGCCAGTACACCACTTTTTTTCTACTACATACCAATGTCATTTCCTTGCCTGAATGTCATAGGGTGACCTGTTCCTGTTCTGGGACAGTATCTGACTGTAACTTGTTATACTGTGAGTGGGATAGAGATGTGAAATGGTTCTTCTGCTAAGGACCCTGGATAAAATCTATACTTCAGTAATGGTAGTGGGGTCAGCAGGTGATGAAACAGTCTCCCAGTAAACCCCTCATTTTAGAATCATAGAATCATAGAATAGTTTGGGTTGGAAGGACCTTTAAAGGTCATCTAGCCCAACCCCCCTGCAGTGAGCAGAGACATCTTCAACTAGATCAGGTTTCTCAGAGCCCTGTAAACCTGACCGTGAATGTTTCCAGGGATGGGGCCTCTTCCACCTCTCTGGGCAACCTCTTCCAGTGTTTCACCACCCTCATTGTAAAAAATGTCTTCCTTATATCTGGTCTAAATCTACCCTTTTTTAGTTTTAAACCATCACCCCTTGTTCTATCACTGCAGGCCCTGCTAAAAATTTGTCCCCATCTTTCTTATAGGCCCCCTTTCAGTACTGAAAGGCTGCAATAAGATCTCCCTGCAGCCTTCTCTCTCCAGGCTGAACAACTCCAACTCTCTCAGCCTGGCCTCACAGGAGAGGTGCTCCAGCCCTCTGACCATTTTTGTGGCCCTCCTCTGGACCCGCTCCAACAGGTCCATGTATTTCTATGGTGAGGACTCCAGAGCTGGATGCAGTGCTCCATGTGGGGTCTCACCAGTGCAGAGCAGAGGGGCAGAATCACCTCCCTCGACCTGCTGGACACACTTCTTTTGATGCAGCCCAGGATACGGCTGGCCTTCTGGGCTGCGAGTGCACATTGTTGGCTCATGTCCAGTATTTCATCCACCAGTACTCCCAAGTCCTGCTCTGCAGGGCTGTTCTCAACCCCTTCATCCCCCAGCCTGTATTGATATTGGGGGTTGCCCAGTCCCAGGTGCAGGACCTTGCACTTGGTGTTGTTGAACCTCATGAGGTTCACATGGGCCCACTTCTCGATTTTCTCATGGCTTGCTGAATTTACTAGGTTTGTAATATGTTCCTTCTCCCTTCTTTCATTTGGTTGTCAAGCAGATCACTCTCGGGGAGAGGGCAGTCAATGGCTTATACTGGCACTAACTATGCACTAAAAAGTCTTCCTCTTAGTACGGGAGAGTTTGCATCCTCAGGATAACATGCAGAAGCCTCTGCTAAGATAATTCAGAGGAATCTTTGGCTGCGATAGTAAATGCAGTGTTAATTCTGGGTAGCAGCACTGGGACATGCAGAAGCTGTTTCATATTCACCAGACTCATTCCTGAAAGTCAGTGTACATTTCAACCATTTCACTGCACAAATGTGCGTCATTGCATGGCAGATTTGGAAGTCCCTGCCAGAGAGTGCTGCTCCAAACACTTCCTAATATATGCAACAGATGCCAAATTATTCCTTTTTATTTTCACAGCTTGTGTTTGTGCACCCAATGCCCGTAGACTTACCCTGCCAACCAAGGCAATTTGGTCTTTTGTCAAGATAACTTGTGTGAAATATTCATGAGTCGTAGATGGAAATTTTGGGCCCAAAGTTTTGTAATTGGTGACAATGGTATTGCCTTAAAAACTTTCCCCAGGCCTGGCATTTATCTGGTATAAGATGGGCATGCTATATCTAATGCTGCAGAATGAAGAGGGATAAAGACTTCAGGAGAGGGAAAAGGAGGGAATAGTAAAGGTTAGTAAAAGAAATCCAGGAAGAAAAATGGAATACATTGATTTCAACACTTTGGAGCATTTACTAATAGAGAGGCATGAGAGAATTTCATAAAATGAACGGATCCTTATCAAAGAAATATATGATACTCTCATCTCAAATGTTTTTAAGGCCCTTAAAGCAGAAAACCTTCAGAATTCTCTTCCTGCATGTATGCTGGTGGAAGTTTTTCTGTTAATTTATTGCCTTCTCTGCTTCCCACTCACTCTTTAAAAGCTGGTGTAGAGAAGTAGTGCCTGTCATTTGAGGCAGTTTGGATGCAAGTCAAAGCCTAAGGCCCTTTTTTCTTTTTCTGTATAATTGCCAAATTAATGAGTTCAATTGGGCTGCACCCTGCAGTAAACATAATAAAAGTCATAAAAAATAATGAACTGGATTATATTTTAACAATAGATGTTTGTATTTTCTTCCTTTCTGTAAGAAGTAAGATATCCTTATCAAGAGCTGTATTGACCTCATGGGTTGAGCAATAAAGATACATGTCCTTGCTCTGGTGCAGCATTCTTTAATGACTGCCGTTCATTTAACAAACCCGATGATTAGGTAATACACTTTGACATGTCTGGGTAATGCTATTCTTTCTCATAGGAAAAAGTCCTAGAAAATGTGTTAGGGATGACATTTAAAGAAGCATAGTTTCACCTGCTTTCAACCTGCAAAGCTGAATTTGCTTGAGTAGAAATGCTGTTATTTATGCCAAGCAGCTAAACCTCTGGAGGTTACAGATCCATGGACTCAGGAACATATAGGGAAGACAGTGAGGCTCTCCAGAAGCCAATGCAGTCAGACACTCTAAAAGTAGGAATAGGAACAACATTATAGCAGTGAGAAATTCAGTGTGAAGTAATAAAGCACCAGCCTCCATTTTCATGCTAATCTATTTGCTTTTTCATCAACTGGACACCTGATTAGTTTCCCTAGAGTAATCTACATACTGAGCCTCCCACACATATCTCCTATCTCCCTCCCCCTTAGGAGGTTTGCTATGACAAGAGAAGATTGTTAATTTTAAGTAAATTTTTTACTCATCATTCAGAGTGCTGAGGATCCTTGATTCATACCCATTTTAACCCAAGTTAACAGCACTTAACACCCTCTAAGAGGAGGGGAAGCCTTTATTGTGTCGTTTTACTTCAGAGCTGCCCCCTCTTCTTCAGTGGGCCTATTCCCCGGGTGTATGAGCACAGCTAGTTCTGCCAGTTTCGTGGAGAAAAATCAGTGCATGTTTGCTATGTCTTGATTCTGTTCATTCTGAAAACAGGGGAGGCCACTGGCATCTATTCCATCTTATGAGACACCAGCAAAATTATTTAGTGAATACCAGTGATTTACAAGCTGGAGCGTAGCCCAGGATATCACTGAATCTTCCAGAGTCAGTATTACTGGTGATAAACTTGCCAAAGAAAAGAGCCCAGCTGGACTCTGGAGACTCCAGACCAAGTTTCCAGGCTGAACAGGAGAAAACCTCCCTATGTTCTGGGACCCTTTTAACCTGTGCTTGTTAAGAGACCTATAAATGAAGGGTCAACAAAATCATTAATGAAAATACAAAAATGAAAAGCCATATTTTAACATGGCAGACCTGCAATTAAATATGCACACTTTTTCCAGGCCCAGCTTCCATGTGTGACATACACTGGGCCCCTGGAGTCCATATAGCCAACCCCAGTTCAGATTATGATACATACAAGCCTAAGACAACCAGCCGTTTTAGATGGATAACCAGGTGCTAATTTACTAATGAGCCTAGACCCTTTACATGCAGGGAGCTATTGCCCCAGCTCTCCAGGGGCTTGCAGAGTTGTTATGGTGTGTGCGAGACACATGAGCTAATTAGTATGTAATTTCCTTTCACACTCTAACCCTGGCTCCTTAACGGCCCATTTAAATGAGAGGCCCTTTCTCTTTACTGCTCCCTGTGCTAATCTCTGGCTCACTGGCTTAGTTACAGCTGCCTATGAATGTTTAAGGGAGTGACGGGTTCCCAGCCCACTTTAATTGAGTGGGGGGCACTGGTTTACCAAATTGCAAGTGAATCTTTCTGTACTTTTATATTTGGTTGCCTGCACTAAGTAGAAGCAAATTATTATTTGCACAGCTGAGCTGTCTTCCAGTTGTGGTCTTTCTGCTGTGTGCATTAAATGGGCAGTGAGACGACAGTTGTGTGATTCATGGAGTACGCTGGAATGGGGAATGAGTGCAAATTGCTGGACACTGCTGAGGTCAAGCTTTGTTCTTCATCCTGAAGGTCTAGACTTCAAATTAGCTTCCTAGTTTGCTCCTCTCTCTCCTAGTCTCTGCCCTTCCTTATTCTGCTTCAGTCTGAGTCTTTGTCACGGAAAGTGAATGTACTAATAACTCTCTCCAGCTGTTTATTGCTTTGCTGGAAAGCTGATGTATAGTAATCCTTTTTGCAGATGGCTGTCCTTGTCTGGAGAGGTTGTCTTCTTCTACTGAGTGGTGAATGTCCGCCAAAACAAGCGAAAGCCTATTACTTGCCATACTGCAAACTGGACTTGTCATGGCATTATAAAGTATCCTGTAGAGGGAAGAACTGCAGTCTCTTGGTGGCAGGGCTTTACATTTCTGACATTTTCATGCTAAATTCTTCCCTACTAGAATATGGCTGATTTCAGTGGAATTTTCCCTGGGTTTAGGTTGGTCCGGCAATTCTTTGGCTATATCTCATGTCTGACAGCATCTTCTCTCCCCTCAAAACCACACCTGTCAGAGTGCTACCTTGAAGTTCTGCATAGTGTCCCCCAATAACATTCATGTCCCTCAATTTTCCTTTAGACTGTTTAACTTAAAAGGGAATGTCAACAAAGTGCATTGAGATGGTGAAACAATAAGCAAAATCAAACATTTGCGAATACAGTCAGTGGGAAAAAACAGAGCAGTTTCATTTTGTGATGAAATCACCATCTGATGCTTAAAGGAACTGCGAAGTTGGACTGCTGTCAGTGGAAAGCCTGAAGTGTGTTTTGTATGGTGTTGATATCTTCTCTCTTAGTACTGAAAATCCATTCCTTCGTAGGATGGCCTAGACACCCTGAATGGGACTAATGAATGGGACAGTCTTTGTCCTGGCCCTCTGCGTAGGAGTGGATTTCATTCACTGACTCTTTGGAGGTCTGGTGAAACCTACAGCTTGCTTCAGAAAGCAAGATCCTGTGATTTTACTATCAGCCCAACAGGACACCTTCAGACAAGGAACTTTTCCAGTCCTAGAACACCAAAGGGGTTGAAATTGGGTGGGAAGGAACTTAGATACCTGTGTTACCAGCATTTGCATATTGTCACAAGAAATTGAGAGATCCCTGGAGACAAACCAGAAATGTGTCCCCTGGCTTATATGCACTTTATATATGCAGTATTAGTTGGTATATTGGCTCAGTCAAAAAGAGTTACCATTGCTCCTGATTTTTCATTGCTGGTCACACATGCTGCCAGACTAACACTGTGTGGTCTGTCATTTTAACAGGTTTCACTCTTAAATGTGAAATGCCAGTGAAATGTTGTTCTGGATGTTCTCTGATACTGTTTTCCACTTACTATTAGTAATAGTATCACATCTGGAGTCTTATCAAAACTTCCTTGCGTGTGTTTTAATATTTTTTTCTAGCTGGGGGTATATAAGAAATAGTGCTCAATATTCTAAACCATCTCTTTCTCTTCACATCAGGCTTGCCAAAAAATCCTGGTTTGGTAACTTCATCAACCTGGAGAAAGAAGAACAGATTTTTGTGGTCATTAAGGATAAACCACTAAGCTCCATTAAGGCTGATATTGTCCACGCTTTCCTCTCAGTAAGTTACTGCCTCTTGGAGGCCTTGCTCACTGGTCAGTTCTAGAACTCCTTGTGCCACATGTTACTGGGCAGGGTCTCTGCTCCTTCAAATGCATCCTCTGTGGATTTAATTTACGTGGCCTGTTGATTCAGGCCTCCACTGGACTCTGAATTTCTAACTGTAGACCACACTTTCTAAGGTGAGAAAACATTTCAGCCTTCTTGGCAGGGTCTCCAGGTTGCAAGTGCTTGGAATATCACTGCATTTAGAGCACGCTGCTGGTGCGGTATCAAGACAGTGATTTGCTGCTTTGTCAAACTAACTTTACAGTCACCATCTGGCTGTGTCTCCCTCTGCTGGGTATGCCCTCCACCACTTTAGTCTGACAAAAATCCTATCTTGCGTTTGCATTTATTACTTTAAATGTCCTCTTTGATGCTGTATGGCAGAAAGAAGGGTAATTTCCTCTGGTGACTGGAGTTATCAGTTGTTGCAGAAGCAGTTTATTTACAAACTAGGAAAGCAGAGGGAAATTGTATTTTTTTTTTCCTATAGAAAGTCCTTATTCTCACTGTCTAGAAGTATCGGTGAAGAAAATGTCAGAACAGTAAGGTTGAGAGATTTTTCAACTCAAGGCAGTTGACAACATAATTAAGACTTTTTTCAATAGAATTAAGGAAGGAGACTTAATTTCTTATATCATTTGTGGAATTGATATTGTTTTCCACAAAATACTGCACTCCTTTTTAGTCTCTATGATGCTGCAATGAATTTCTTCCAAAAAACTAGCCATAATCCTTTTAACTGTACAGGCATACAAGGAGCAAGTGCAGTATGGTAGCATGCATCAGACACTGGTATCCTTCTCAGATTGGTTCGAAGCAGCCATGTTATTGTATCAGTTTCATGCATTTAGCTGTGCTTGTGGGATTATATTGTGGTATAGTGTGCACTGCTGTCTATATTTGTGATCCTGTGCATACTCCACATGTGTGGGTTGAGGTGTGATGTAGTGATTTGTGTACAAAACCTATGAATTGTCTCTTACAGCCAACTTCAAACTTAATTGCATTGTCACAGCCTGCTAAGTAAGTCCTTAAGGTCAGCTTCTCAAAGAACTTATCTTCATTTTTCCTTCTAAATTAGAGGCCAGATTTCAAAGTGATTTGTTGTTTTTTTTTTTTTAATCTGGTCCTTTATGAAGCAATAAATAGAACATGAGTGTGTTAAATTTTGGCAGGAACTGTAAATGGTAACTGCTTGAAAATTAGGCATTTATCAAATGCTACCATGGGTCTGCAGGTACAGATATTGGATGATACCAGAAAGCTTCTCAAAGTTCTTTTGCATATTGATATTTGTGGTTTGGGTAAATTATTTGCAGGCATGCTTACCCTGCAGGTATCCCAGGCACTTGTCTAGGTGTCGGCTGCATGTCCTGACATCTGTTTGGTATCATAGAATCACCAAACAATTGAGGTTGGAAAGGACTTCAGGAGATCTCCTGCTCAAAACAGGATCTGCTATGAGATCAGACCAGGCTACTCAGATGGTTTTTTATATCCAGTCTTATATCCCACTGACTTTTCTGCCCCTTCCCTTAATATCAGTTTTCAGTCAGCAAAAGGCATTTCTCAAAACTGGTAGATGAGTAGGGAAGGAAAGACTCAGTGTATGAAGTTGTGCAAAATGTGTAAATTTATAATCATGCTGAGTATTCCACCAATATTCAACCTTTAAATTTAGGTCAGTCCTGTAAGGAGCAGTGCATTCTTCTGCGGTGCCAAGCAACCTACACTCTTACTGATTTCACAAGAATACATTACAAATTCAAGTCCAGAAGCAAATCCAGCAAATCTTATCCACTCTGGAAATGTGTATTGTTCTAAATCAAGTCATGCAATTTTGTTCCCTTTGTGCTCTGGTTCTACTATATCCTTCTACCGACCTGTTTCAGATTCCAAGCCTCAGTCACAGTGTCATCTCACAGACAAGTTTCCGTGCAGAATATAAGTCCACAGGAGGTCCTGCTGTCTTCCAGAAGCCAGTGAAGTTCCAGGTGGACATAACATACACAGAAGGGGGAGAGGCACAGAAGGAGAATGGGATCTATTCTGTCACTTTCACACTCTTATCAGGTAACCATGGCAAAGCTGTGAAATGGGTGCAAGCTGGCTTTGTCCTTGCTGATACAGAGGCCTGCAAAGAGAGCTCTGCCAGGGGAAAGAATATAACTGTCTTGACCTCAGGGGAAAATTCAGATGGGAGCAAGGAAGACATCAGGAACAAAAATGGTGTTGGTAGTGATGGAAATGCTAGGAGGGAAAGA